AAAAAAAAAAAAAAAAAAAAAAAAGAAAGAAAATTAGCATTGCACTGCAGGAACCTAAACACCCCAAAACAACTTTAACCACTTATTACTCGGTCATGTAATTTCTCCTCCACACCCTCAAATTACAGAATCCTGAAGAAAAAGGAAAACATTGAATTTAGAAGTCGGGGAAATGGTTCAGTGATAGAACTCTTACCTAGCATATGCACATGTATAAAGAGTATATTTTTTATCCCTCTTTTTGTTGTGGCCTTATATTTAAAAGAGATTCTGAATCTGGAGGGTATTTTGTATTTTGAGACAGGATCTTTCTTTTTTTTTTTGGTTTTTCGAGACAGGGTTTCTCTGGAACTCACTCTGTAGACCAGGCTGGCCTCGAACTCAGAAATCCGCCTGCCTTTGCCTGCCAAGTGCTGGGATTAAAGGTGTGCGCCACCACTGCCCGGCTGAGACAGGGTCTTTCTACACTGTGTGGGTTGTCCTGGAACTATGTAGACTGGGTTGGCCTCAAACTCAAAGAGATCCTCCTACACAGTGAGTCTATATCAAAATCTCTTTATAAATTACAGAAGAGGAATAATAACAATTTGCAAGGTTCAATTTCCTCATATTTTATTTCTCCAGATCCCAGTATTTAAACATAAAAAAATACATAATCATAACATAATTGTGACAATTATTACACAGCTCTACTACCAAGCTATTCTTGGATATATAGATCTATCCCAGGCTTGCCTTGAGGTTTCAACAAATCTGGTTCAGCTTCCTGATTGCTGAATGCCCAATAGTTTAAAAAAAAAATGAACTAAAATTTGCATGTGGTACTTCATGCTATAATCCCAGGATGGGGAGGTTGAGGCAGGCAGGAGGATTAGTCTGCATTTAAGGTAATCCCAGGCAACAAAGTATGTTTCCAAACCAGGCAACCAACCAGACAGTATCTCTACCCCTCACCCTCCTCAAAAAAACAAAAACAAACAAACAAACCTCACCCCCCACCATGCTGTGAGTAGAGTAAGCTGTAATACTGGAACTTAGGAGCCGGTGGTAGAGGATCAGAAGTTCAAAGTCACCCTCAGCCACTTACTGAGCTCCGTACCCTTAGATGAGCCGATCCCCAAGGACCTAATCCAATCCAGCCCACTTTAAACAACAAAGGAAAGGACTGGGGACAGTACTCATACTCAGTAGCGCAAATTAATGTGAGTCATAAGGGTCAACATTTAGATAAATTTATTTTGAAAGACAAGGTATTACAGCTATTCTGCAGAAATTACAGGTAAGAAGCCATACTTCTATGTTAAAGAGTAGGAAAAATTAAATCAAATAACAAAAGAAAACACACTGGGGAAAGATTACCAAGAGAACTTAATAAGTAAATTATGAAAGTGGGGTGTATTTTTTATGTGAGTTGTATCTGCAATATACACATGAATTCACGTGGACGCATGTATGTCTCCATGTAGGCACACGTGCATGTCTGTGGAGGCCAGGGGTCGATGTCAGATGTCTTCCTCAGTGACAAAGTCTCTCAATGAACCACACTCATTTATTCAGCTACACTGACTGGCCAACCAGCTCTGGAGATCTGCCTTCCTAGTGCTGGACTGAAACACGAGTACCATCAGCGAGCCCAGCTTTTCATGTGTCGCTAGGGATCCAAACTCGGGCCCTTACGCTTGCACGACAAGTACAGTACTGACTGAACCACTCTGGCCCCTATGAAATGGAATTTAATACTGAGGCCTGGCAGCATGATTTGCTACTCAGCACTAGATGGCAGCATCATTAAATAAAAAGAGTAACTCTTTCTGTAAGGGTGGATTAGGGATTTTTAATCATTTTAGACAATCACACAGCTTTTTGACAATATCCAAATCTCAATGCTTTGTAATTCCTTGGTTTTAGCTGAAAAAAGATGCAATTTTATTTTGTGTTTTTGAGACAGAATCTTGCAATATAGCCTACATAGTCTTCAAACGAGTAGCCTTCCTACTCACTTGCATACTTGTAATTCCAGCACTGGGCTGGTAGGGATGGATGGAGAGTGGGGACTTGGCCAGACTAGCTAGTCATGCAAGCTGCAGGTTAATCAGAAACTTTGCTAAAAAATGAAATGAAATAAAATAAAACGGTAAAGTGTAAGGAATAGCACTTGAGGAGCCCCGCCTGCCACACACACACACGTGTGTGAGTACCTGGATGCACATGTGCACACTTCCCATACTCTGATAAAGCAAACACATTTATAGAGCTGGGCATGGTGGTACATGTAATGGTGGTGATCCCAGTCCTTGGGAAGTAGAGAGAGGATGGTCAGAAGTTCAAGGTTGACTCTAGGTTATACAGGGAGTTTGAGGCCAGCCTGGGTTATTATATGAGACACTGTCTCATAACAAATGAAAAACAAGGGTGGAGTGTAAGGGAGACTTACTGGTATACATTATATACACAATTGTAATATAACAACCTTGTCAACATGTATACTGCATGCTAATAAAGACAAACTTAGATACTCGTAGATACTTAATTCGTAATAGTCGAAAAACTGCATACAACCCAAATGTCCTGTAATAGGGAAATGTTTCGAAATGGTTAGACTCAATTATACAGGTTGAGCATTCCTAATCTAAAAACCCACAACCTAAAATTTTTTACAGACTCACCACCTTTGTGCTGCCCTCTGTAAGCACAGCGACTTCCCCGGCACACCCACTTCTCCTACCACCATCTGCATTTCTCTCCTTTTCCTTTTTGTTTTTGTTGTATTTTTGGCTTTTTGAGACAAGGTCTCTCTCTCTCTAGTGCTGGCTGTCCTGGAACTTGATGTGTAGACCAGGTGACCCCAGCTCACAGAGATCTGCCTGAGTTCTTAAAGTTATGCACCACCACAGCCAGCTCGGCCGCCCTCCTTGAGCCCCTGCCAAACACTGATCTCTACAGATCTTTCCAAATCAAGAATGTGAGTGTTAAGCAAATAGAATCACAGTATGTAGTCTTTTGAGTCTTTCTCACTTAGCTTAAGTGCCAGAGACTTGTTGAAGCTGCTATATGTGTCAAGTTTGTTTCCCTCCCTCTCCTCCTCAGAGGGTTTGAACCTGTGCATGCTGGACAAGCAGCACCCCAGCCTGGGTTTGTTATTAATGCTAAGTAGTATTAGATTATAGAACAGTTCATATTGAATATCCCAGGCCTGAAATACTTGAGACTAGAAGCATTTTAAATTTGAGGATTTCCTAGGGTTTTAGAAATATATTTAAAATATGTATTTTAGAATATCTATACATATATTGAGATATCTTAGAGTGGGCCCCAGATCTAAACCAGAAATTCACTTGTGTTTCTTTTTCTTTTGCTTCACAGTGGTTTAATATGAACAGAGTTGAATATGACATTGTCTGATAGAAGAATGAACAATTTGCTGGATAAAAGCCCCAAGTCAGGATATATACACAGAAGAAATGGGACCTCACAGTCTCAGTACTTGTGCACAATGAAAGAAAAAAAAATCTTAAAAAGAAATCTGTAACAGAGGATACACATCAAAAGGCAGCAAGGACACCGATACTGGCGAGGTGGGAAAGGGGCTACTCAGCTACCAGCATGAGCTCAGCAGCTAGAGAGCTAATCTACCTCAAGGATCTTCAACACTGAGATGGGCCCCAAGTCCCCTGTCAAAATCTAATCCTGATCTCTCTGACCAGGGTCACACCAGATTCAGCCATCCTTTCCCCAAGGACCCACAGAGAAAACACAAATCCTTCCATGACAGGGAGTCTAAGCCAAGAGTCCCAACTTGCACCTGGCACCAGTGTTAACTTGTTCTCATCCCACCACTTGGACAGACAGCAGGTCATAGCAAACAAACCACCACCTCCCAAACAACAGCATAGGACACTTGCCAGCCTAAAGAAGCTGCCTTAGCCTCTAAGATTTGGGAAACCTACACCTAGCTGCTAGCTTATTTCAATTTCTGGGGACAACACTAGAGTTCCACGGGAAACAAGTACAGGTAGTTCAGTAACCCTGTGACCAAGCTGGGGAAGGCATGCAGCAGACAACTCTTGCTTCTGAGCCCCATTCAACAGCTCAAAAGTGCTTACGAGAAATGAGAAAGTGTGGTGTGTGTGCTTCTGCCCTTGACATAAGCAGCACTAAATGACATGGGCAGCACTAAATGACATGGGAAAAGGAGGAATGGAAGAAGGAAAGTGATGTTGCTCTTCCTTACTACCAAGAGGACCTAAAACACAATCCCCTCCCACCATTCAGAAAGTCACCTGGCAGTGGTAAGTTGCTCTTATCCCTCAAAACTCACAAAGCTAACCCACAAAGAAACAGGGCTTGAGGAAGGAGAACTGCTGGCCCATACTGACTCATTAGATAGTGAGCAAAATATAGACAGCCAGAGTAGGGAGCCGTAAAGGGATAGGGGCTAGGCAATAGGAGCACCTACTACCCCATGGCTTTCTGACTTTGCAGTAACCATGGAGACGGGCCCAGAAACCCCATATATCCTGCTCCACATATCAGACTGCTCAAACTCTAGGATTGCTGCCATGAAAAGCAACAAGGGAGAGGAAAAACAAACAAACAAAACTGCTGAGAAAACAGGGAGTAGGCCTAGAAAAAGTAAGCTTTGGGTTTCTACCATTTTCCTCAAAAAGAAAAATTTTCATGCAGGTAGGAAAAGCAGGGATTCTCCCTATTCAGGGTTCCTGGTTAAACCTAAGGATAAGAAAAAGGCCCTAGACTTGCAGCGTCAGTAATATATCCCAGTGCCTCACCAGCACAACCCCCCTCCCCCCAAGTTAGCCTTCTGGTATGGTTAAAATGCCCAAGAAATTGCCTTCCAGTCCAATCCCTCCCCCAGCCCCAAGCAAAGTGCATCTGCCTGTGGTTTCCCACCTCTCTTCAGAGAAGAGACACTAGCAGAGCACCCACACGGTGTAGCCTGGTACCAAAGGGTACAATGCAAAACGGTCTAGCTAGGGGATGGGTAGCCAACTTCAGATCAAAAAGAGAGAGAGGCTTAGTGTAAAAACCAATCTCATTTCAGCAGGAAAAGTAGAGGGCAAGTGGTGAGAGGGCCTCCTATTGGCGCACCTTCCCAGGGATGTAGTTCCTATCAGCTGCCTCCTCCTGCAGAACATGTGTAGACAGCGTTCACTCTGAGCCAGTGGGTGCCCAGCAATTTTGTTAATAAACTGCTCAAGGCCTTGCCTCCTCTCTTCAATGAAAGATTCCTCAAAGATCCCTTCCTCTCCTCGGAAAGGGAGCTGCTGCTTGAAGGCTTTTCCAGGCAGTGGTGGTACTATGATCGTACTATCTTGCTTCCAGCTCATTTTTCAGCCACTCAAAATCACTATAGCGTCGCCATATACAGGATTCTTTCAGCTTGAAGATGGGTAGGTTTGTCTGCCTGTGAACCTCATAGGTGGTGAAGCGCACTCAGCCCACGCCCACCATCTGTAGATTAAAGATGTCTATCTTCAGGAAGTTACTAGGCTGCCCATAAGGGTCAGTTAGGTCTTGGGGCAACGAGTTACGGTGCCAAGCCACTGCCGTGTCCGACATCTTTCCGAAGAGACCAGCGAAGGGGGTGGGGGACAGAGGCCTGAGGCAAGAGAGCATATGGCTCCTCCCACTTGCAAAATCTCACTTATGTTTCATATAGATGTGGCTTGATGGTAAAATTACAAAACATTTTTCCGTGTGCTTCTGTTTTAACTTTGACCTCCGACATGATGTGCATTTTCATCTGTGGCCTCACATTGGGATTGAAAAGATTTTGAGGTTGGGAGCATTTTGGGTTCTGGGTTTTTAGATTAGGAACGCTCAACCTGTATAATTGAGTCTAACCATTTCGAAACATTTCCCTATTATAGGACATTTGGGTTGTATGCAGTTTTTCAACTATTACGAATTAAGTATCTATGAGTATCTAAGTTTGTCTTTATTAGCATGCAGTATACATGTTGACAAGGTTGTTATATTACAATTGTGTATATATTGTATACCAGTAAGTCTCCCTTACACTCCACCCTTGTTTTTCATTTGTTATGAGACAGTGTCTCATATAATAACCCAGGCTGGCCTCAAACTCCCTGTATAACCTAGAGTCAACCTTGAACTTCTAACCATCCTCTCTCTACTTCCCAAGGACTGGGATTACAGGCATGTACCATCCACAGGACAGGACTACAGATGGAGTGTACACACACGCACGCACGCACGCACGCACGAGTACAACTGAGAACTATGAGCATGATTGCTCTTGTCAATATCCTGGATATGACAGAATGTCACACTTTACAAGATGTTCTCAATCGGAAACATGGGAGGAGTGCATGGAATCTTTCTGTATTATGTGCATATGTATATTATTATGGGATAAAATCTCCTTTTGTTATCCAAAGTGGCCTGGAAAAAGTTATACAACACACTGGCCTCAAACAGGCCAGCAGATGACTGTCCTGCCCCAGTCTCTGAGGTGCTGGGATTACAGGTGTGCATTACCACACCTGGCTCCTTCTGTACTACTTACCACTCTACACAAATATAATCAACAGAAGTTTAATGCATCTGGTGTCTTATCAGACCACCAATTATAAAGAGAATGAATCAATTCAATAAATATTTAAAGGTGCTAAAGACACAGCATTGATTGATACAAAGTGAGTTCTGGGGCAGCCAGGACTACGCAGAGAAACCCTGTCTCAAAAAACACCAAGACACAGCCTTGAACAGGAAGAGAAAACTGCTAGTCTTGGGAGGGTGTGGTGCTGCACTCCTTTTATCCCAGCACTAAGGAGTAGGGACCAGCCTGGTCTATACAAGCTAGTTTCAGTACAGCAAGGACTACGTAGTGAGACCCTGTCTCAAAAACAAAAACAAAAAAAGAAAAACAAACAAACAACAACAAAAGCCCAAGCAAACGAACTGCAGGTCCCTTTAGCTTGCAAAAGCGGATAAAACCATACCATACCACGTTAGCTAACAAAAGTCAGTAAGAAAGTAAAGAAAGTGGAGGATGGAAGGCAGAGCGGTGACAGAAAGCCCTAAGAAGCCATCAGAGACCAGAAGAAAACAGACAGTCATAGGAGAAAAGTACTCAGAGCCAAGGAAAAACACTAGGTCACAGTCCTGGTTGAGCAGATGTTAGGAGTTGATGGCTCAGGGAGAGGGGCAGGCCAGAAACAGGGGACAGTCTTGTGGATCATTCCTGTGAGGGACAGGACACCACAGGAGGGCTGTAAAAGTAGAGGGTGAAAGTTATGTTTGCTAGGGTCATTCTGCTGGCCTGGGTGAGCACAGAGAAGGCAGTATCAAGAGCAAAAGCTAGGGGACCAGAAAGTAGGCTGCAGCATAGTTCACACGAGAGCCTCATGAGCCTGGGAAATGAGCTGGGCCTATGTCATTATGATGTCACACATATGATCTGACAGACAGACAAGTGATAAACCAGGCTTGCAAGGCGGTTCAAATCCTTAAGAAATGGTGTTGTTCTGCTATTTTGACAAAGCTAAGGCTTTAACTGTACAAACCTTATCTTGTGACCCAGAGGGTGTCTCTTCTAGAGTCTCGGTGCTTCCCAGATTGGAGAGCTGAGTGCTTGGCTGTAGCCCAGGACTGGAGATATTTGAGCCGCCCATCTGATTCTTGGAAAAGAATTAAAAGAAAAAAAATCTATCATCTGAAAAAAGACTGCTGTCTAAAATCTGGTTCACATTCGAAGCTATCGAAAATACTTTAATTAAAAAAATATACAAAAAAATTTCTTAAAAATTTTTCTATTAATTTTCATCTTAACTTCTATAATAAAATTGCTATAAAGTAGAAAATCTATATCTATACATGGTAGCTCCAACTGTTATTGCTTTAATCACTCATTTTAAGGGAAGATATCATTAGTCTACCAGATTTTCCCATGATTTAAGTTACACAGGATATCTTTAACTGTTGGGAGAGGCAGTTCTACCTGTACTACACCCACCTCAACAGCCGAGGTGCCAAGCGCAGCCACACTGCAAAAGTGTGTTGGCTCTCTATGGTCATGACCTCTGAGCATACCAATAAACCAGTGGTTTGTTCTGTCATGGATTTGTCTTTTCAAAAATGCTAAAGTGGAATGGACTATACCCATGGTAATGGCTTCTGTCACTTGGCATAAAGCCTCGAAGATTCATGTAATCTATAGTAATGTAATCAATAGCCTATTCCTTTTTAATTATGGCATATATAACATTTATATTGTTTTCATTTTTAAAGATTCTATTTTATGTGTACGAGTGTTTTGCCTGCATGTATGTATGTGTATCATGTGTGTGCCTGGTCCCTGAGAAGGTGAGAATAGGGAACTGGATCTCCCTGAGCTGGAGATGTTGTGAGCATGGGTACTGGGAACTGAACAAAATCTTCTGGAACAACAGTGGAGCTCTTAACCACTGACCATCTCTCTAGCACATCTTCATTCTTAAACTATTTGTCTATGTGCAGTAATTTTATGTGTATGCATGGGTGAGCATGTGTGTGGAAGGAAGCCAGCGTCTTGCAATGAACCCGGGCTCACTGTTTTAGCTAAATAGGCTGCCCATCAAACCCTTTATCCTTCTGTTCTCCGCTCTCCATCCTTTCTGCTAGGGGTACAGGCTGACACAGCCATGCTTGTACATGGGTGATGGGACTCAAACTCTGGTCCTTATACTTGTACAGCAAGCTCTTTTACAAACTGAGTCATCTCCTCAGCCCCTATATTCAGTGTTTGATTATAAACATAGCTTCGATAACTTTTGTAGAGACAAAGTTTCATTTCACTAGAGTAGAAACCTAGGAAAGATAAATCAGGGTACAGTGGTAAATATATTTTTCTTCTAAAAGTTTTTTTTTGTTTTGCTTTTTTTGAGACAGTCTTGCTATGTATTCCAGGCTGACTTTGGATTTATGATCTTCTTGCCTCAGTCTCCCAAGTCCTACGATTACAGGTATGACAATCACATCTGACACAGTTGTACTTTTTTTTTTTTTTTGGTGCACGCAGATGTTGGGTTCTGTGCGCAAATATGTGCATGGGAAGGCCAGCGATTGATGTAGGATGCCCTCAATCACTCTTTGAGGCAGGGCGTCTCACTGAACCTGGAGCTCATGGATTCCGCTATACTGGCTGTCCACCAAGTCCCAGAGATCCTCTAGTCTCTGCTTCCCCAGCACTGACCTGAACCCAAAACCATGGTATTGCGAGTCAAGCTTGGACTTATGCTTATACAAGAAGCACTTTACTGACTGAGCCATCTCTCCAGTACTTGGCTAAATAGTCTAATGTTTATATTTAGATTTATGAGCCAGTTTGAGCTGAATTTGCATAAGATGCTACAGTTTGCTTAAGGTTCACTTTGTGTGTATATGTATACACACGGACATCCAATCATTTCAAGACCATTTAAATTCAAACTTGCTCAAAGTGATACTGCAAGTGAAAATAGTTTTAATAACAAAAAGGATCCTTGGCTGGGTATCTGGTAGAGCTTGTCGAGCATGCTCAATGTACTGGGTTCAAACCCCAGTACTGCAAAATAGACAACCAACCAATGTAACATACACAAGAATCCTTATACGATCACTGGATAGACACACAATTATGAAAACCCAAGTTCCAGTTGAAGTATTTGTTGCAGATTTTATAAGTACTGTTTACTGAAACAATAAAAATGAACAAGAACAAAACAAGAAACTTCTCCAATCTTCAATGCAGAGAAAGAACAATTTCAACAAGGAAAATAAAAGTAATTTTTAGAATTTCATTTTAAAATTTTTTTTTAATTAATTATTCCATACGTTTACATCTCAAATGATATCCCACTTCCCAGTTACCCCTCCATAAGCACTCCATCCCACAACCTCCCTCAAAAGTAATTTCCTTAGTATTGTACTGTCCAGAAACATGTTCAACACAGGAACAGGGACTCGAATATTAAATGAGTGGATAGAGTACTGTACTTTTCCTAGTTAAATGATAATTCTCATACTATTTTAGAACGTCAAATTTTGTTTTGTTTTAAAGGACATGATCCCTTCAGACTGGCGAATTCATTATGTAGCTAAAGTTCTTTGAACAGGGTCATCATCAGTCACGATGGAGCCTGCTACAGGGAATGATTGGCACTGGATATTAGAGAAACGCAACACTGTTCCTAAGAAGCTCTTAAAGCAGAAGGTACAATGCTCAGAAATATTAAAAACTGGGAGTTTCCCTAAGGGAGGGAAAGTCCAGATACGTCATTCTTCAGATCAGGCTAGAGGACCTGGACTCAGTAGGTCACCTGGTGCACAGGCTGAGGCTGTACTCCAATAACCCTTTCACTTGGGGACAGGCAAAGACAGGTCTCAGTTGTATTATGGCCCAAGTGGCTCTTGAATTACTGGACCCTGCAATCTTTAAACAGAACTTGTAAGATGAGCTTACTAACAGTTCAGAAGCATTTCGGGGAGTTTTGGTACCCATATAGGGCCTTTGTTGAAGGTTTATCTTCTGTGTGTTAATGATGGCAGTCAGCCCTAAGATTAGGATATATATATATATATATATATGTATATATATATATATATATATAAAATCACATACACATCTGGAGTGTAATTTTTATAAAATTTGTTTAAAATCTTTAAGGAGGCTTAATCCCCAGTATTATATAAACTGGGTATGTTGGTACATCCCTATAATTACAGCACTTGGGAACTGGAAGCAAAGTTCAAGGCCATCCTTGGCTATGTAATGTGTCTGGAGGGTAGCCTAAGTAAAACTCTTTCATCTACTAATCCCATGAAGTAATTAATCTTAGGAGAAGATTAGTATGATATATGGTGATTTAGCTCCAGGACTGGAGTGCTGAGATCCTAAGAAAAAGAATTAAGAGAAATCTAGGGTATTATTTATGTAACTGGGCAGGTGACTTTGAGGCCATCCTGGTTCACAAAGTGAAATCCTGTCTCTGTTTTATCAACTGAAATCTCACAAACACTTCCTGTAAGATGAACAGTTATTGCTGATATAAATGCAGATCTGTAGTAAAGAACACAACACAAACGGACAGCTAATAAAATTAACACACATAAACAACCATACACATTTGGAGAGAGTTTTGGAAGGATACATAATGAAGCATCATCAACAATTATTTTTAGCTGGCAGAATTACTGTATTTTCTTCCCTTTGTTTACTAATCACTGAACATAAAAATTTCTATAGTATTATACACTGCTTGCCAAAGTAAAATAATGATATTCCTACATTTTGAAGAACAATTAAAAATACTGTTCAAAATCCAGGAGTTTGTTTTCTGGCTAAAAACCATGAGAACTGGGCTAGCTGTAAAGGTTTGTGATTTTGGCTATCTTTCATTATGTGAAATATAAAAGTTAGTAAAAAGGAAAATGCTTACAGAGTTTTAAGTTTCAAACAGTCTCTTAGAAATATACAAAATGCTGGACTTGTACTGGGTGTGGCAGTGAGTGTGCGCCTGTAATTTCAGTAGTCAGGAGGCTGAGCCAGAGGGATCATTTGTTACATGGGTTACAGAGGGAGACTACAAAAAAGAGAGGAGAGGAGAGGAAAGACAGAATGGGGTGAGAAGGGGCGAGGCAGAGAGGGAGGGAGGGATAGAGAGGGGGATGATGACTACTTTAAATAACTGACCGAACAGAGAGGATTTAGAATTAATATTAAATCTGAGGCCTTGCTTATCTTCCCTTCCCTTGGCTGGCAATTTCCCAAGTCTTCCAAAAGGAAACAGAGGGCCTATCTATGCGCTGCCGGGGAGAATCTGGGGAGGTCCAGAGTTACTTCCCATACCAGCTCCACATGGTAAAACAGGCAACAAGGCAGAAAGCAAACTTTTATTTATAAAGAAGTCCTGCTTATAGTTTTTAACGACAAAAAGAAAACCCTATAAATGAAATGTTAAAGATTTAACAAAAAAAAAAAACAAAAAACAAAACCAAAAAAACCCCAACAAAACAAAACAACAACAAAAGACTTAACAAATCTTCAAACATTTCATTTGAATCTAACCTTGGATAACATCTTACATATTTTAGAATGTTCTTTACAATAGAAGATGCTGTTTGTACTAACTGCTTTTTGCAGTAATTGAAAATAGAAATCTTAAGGGATTTTTAGACAGCCCACTAGACACTACAGTTCTAGTGCCTAAGGGTTGATACAGGGGTAGATAATATGCTCACAACAAGGAAAGTGTTAAAAGAAAAAAGAATTTTTCTTTCCTTTTTTGTTTCTTGCCTCTCAGGCAGAGAAACCAAGGCCATTTCTTACAGAACGGGTCCCACTGAGCAGTATCTAGTCCCTGTCTCATGGGTATTCTGATCAAATCACCACTCAGGGTAGTGACCAAGTGAACAAAGAGAGGCAATGAGAAATAGCACAAGGTATTTTTGAGAAGGGATCTATGGAAAATAAATTAGCCTTTAAACCAAACTAAACAACAAAATAAACTCCTCAATTTTTTTTTTTATTTTAAAAATCATGATTATGGATGACTGCTTTCCTCACACTTAGCTTCTTTAAAATATATTTTAGATTTTATGTGCACATTTTGTCTGCATGTACACTGTGTGCGTACCTGGTGACCATGGAGGTCACACGAGG